GCTGAGAGATGAAGTGTAGAATCGTCTAGCTATTCAGTGAACCATATTATTCGCCGTTTGAGAGCATCTATAGTTTGATAATTAAAGAAAGTCCCCTGTGGGCGTGGCTTGAGACTCAAGGCCAGATAAGGCCCAACTTTCATACCCGAATATCTCCAAAACTATCAGCTTCAGAATAATCATTTCTGATACTTTTGTACTCAGAATTCATTCCTCTGTCACATTCCACCACAAAAAGAACTATTTTAGACTAACAAAGTCGTTCAATAATAACACCAACGACAAAAAGTGCTCGAGATAGAAAGAACGGATAACGTAGTTATGGTTTTGCAAGGTACCGATGGCAGCCACGCGGCGCGAGTGAAAGCGAGCCGCATTCTCTGTAAAAAGAGTATAAGCTGGCGGGTGCGGTACGGTCGGCGCGGTAAACAAAGCCAGCACGTGGTCGATCACCGATCAAAGGGATTCCTGCGACCGATCGAACGGTCCCGGGTCGATAATTCAGCGGCAACTTTTCCAATAGCTCAATTACGTCTGCATCGATGGATTTCCGCGGGATATGCATAATTCAACGTGGAAAGTCGAACCGGCCGCGGTTCCGCCAAAACAGGCAGAAACAGGTGAACCGTGCTCGAATTGAGATCGATAGACCTGGTCGCGGCGATTATTGGGAGAAATTGCCGCGCGACAAGAAGGCGTTCCACTTTTGGATCGACGTCCTGCAAAATGGCGCCTTTCGTGGGATTAGAAATAATCGGGGCTAGGTTTTACGGCGAATACCGATCAAGAAACACTTTCCTTTCCGTTGGGTGAATGAGACATTTTGATGCGTGTTTCGTCTGATGATTCTTTGTGATAAAGTCGAATAGATAGCTTTGCAAAAATGAAAGTAGGTAGAAGAAGAAGCCAAACTGATCTACCAGTAACAGTTGATGATTTCTATTTTCAACTTCCACTGAGATGCTGAGGAAGATATCTATGAGCTCAGACTAATTTATAACCAGATGGGATTTATAGATATCTGTAACTTGTTTAATTTATCACACCAGGTTTTCCAGGACAGGTGCCAAGCGATACACCTGATTTACTGATTTCGCAAATGGTAGAGGAAAAATTGTGTTGTTTTTAGAGTAGAACCTGCTGGTGACGGGAATTTTTAAATCCCGTTCACGAGCAAGTGTGTCCGAAACTGGAACAGTTGGGCGCGCGATAGAAGCACGTCTAGTGAATCCAATTACGTCATGTGACCTATAAATATAAACAGTGGAATCGATCATGAAAACGTGCATTTCACGGACAATAGGATTTAGAAATATTGTGACTGTCCACTAGTAGTTTCGATAGGGAAACGTTAAGCTACACGATCCATGTCTAAAAATGGCGTTAATCCCTAACCTAGGATCTAAATATTTGGATTAGATTGTCCACCATAAAATCATAACTAGCATATCCCCAGGTAGAATATATAGATTCACTAATAGTCCTGTGTCATTCAAATGTCAGAAATAATTTTTCTTAGGCTAACTCCGATAATATTGACGATGAAATATTCCCTAGGTAGTAGAGGATTGAAAGGGTTCACTGAACACTCTCACGTGTCTTTCAAGTGGCTTTGATAAATAATCACCTACAGTCAAAGGGACTGTCTATTGAACCTCGCGACTCTGCCTCCTTCAGTCTTGAATATAACTGACCTGGCTAATCTATCCTCGGGTGGTCGATGTAGAGGCTTCCTTGCGATCTTCTCGTGTTGTCCAAGTGTCTCTGACAAGGAACAGTCATCTTCAGCCCAGAGAATATGCTCTGAACTCCCAAACTTTAACTTTGACTCCTTCGATCCTGAATGTAACTGACCTCGTTACCCATTCTTCACTTGAGGATCCGGAGTCTACTCGATAGAAGACCCCTACGACGATCTTCCACACAATTGTCTACGACGAAAGACAGTCCGGCACATTCAGTAATTGGCTTTCAAACATCTCGCTCATCTCGACTACCAGCTGTGACTACCTCGTCCGTCCTATTCTAGGTTGAGGGGAGGGAGTCTCACTTACCAAATCCCCGTGTCGTCCACGGAAACTATTGATTTTAACGTGCTCTCGCACTTAAGCGCGTCGGAAACCGGAGAACCGTAGCGTAACACCCTTCCGAGCGTCACGGGTTCATCCGTACACCGACGATGTACACTCAGCCTCTCCATCTTTCTCTTTCCATCGGTCTCTTTCTCACCGTCGCCCCTCTCTGTCACTCTTTCGGCTTCTCTCTTTCTATCTTGTCGTCGTTTTGTTTTCCCTGCGTCGGTGCATTGATCGCATTACACAGCATTAAGGTATCAGTAAGCCTCTCGTTACGTCCGGCTCTCGAATGGCCCTAGCCAGTCTTACACGATGCTTAGATTTGCTCGCCGCGGTGTTGAAATACGTCGATTTGTTTCGTTCTGTTTCCCCCCCTGTGAATCCTCTGGCTACCCACTGGGACGCCCTTCGTCGCGGATAATTAGTTTCGCGGCGGGACGAATTCGTTGATGAGACAGTGCTGTTCTTCAATCACGGAGACATCTTGGTAGGCTCGGAGTGGATACCTTTGGAACTAGCTCGGTTGGTTAGGATTGGCGTGACTGGTGGTTGGGATATCGTCGTTATTAGGTATGTTGGATTTAGATGTCCGAGACTCGACCCAGGTTCATCAATCCCTCAAATCACCTCCAGATCGTGATCCTCAGCCACTTGAAGAAGGTTCTCTCTGAAGACACCCAGATTTGGACGTTCTTAATCCCTCGCTTCCTGAAACAAAAGAATCCAAGGGTAACATTGATGTTTATCCGAGGGTCCATTGGGTTAGGTCTTAAGGGCTACCGGAAGTAAGTGGGCCAGAGAATTGGACTCGAACTAGATCAATTTCGGAGCTTGCAAACAGAGGTTTTGGGAGAAGATTCCAAGTTTGCAAGACGAGTCTCCCAGCCAGTGTCTTCCCAAATAGACCTCTGATTTTCATACCCCACACTTTGACCACAGCCATGTCCACCTAGACACCCAAAACGTAATCGATCTAATCACACGTCATGGGATCAGCGCCAAATAGCGGCGCATTGCAGCGATCAAACATTGGTGACGTCTGTAATTTGGAAAATCCCCAAACCAACGTCGATCGAGTGACTCCCCTCGCGGAACTTCGTATAGCAATTATCCGATCCTGCTGACAGAGCAAGCTTTCGTTTCATCTTCGACGTTCGCAAAAATTCTAAAGCTGCGGAATCCTATAATGAAACTTCGCGGTTGAGGAAACAGACGCAGGCGTTATTGCTGGACGCCGCGGTCTTTCAAAGAGGAGGCGAAGCGTAAACGATAACGAACCGTTTCGCGCTGAACATATTTAACGCTACCGTGGCGTCGTAAACTTTTATTGCGACGGTGGATTTCGTCCGACATTAAGCGCAGATATTTGCGAGCATTAACGCCGGCCGTTCTCGCACGGACGAGTTCTCGTGCGCTCGATCCACTCGACAGCCATTTTTTCGAGCCCTCTATTCCTGCTCATCATTTTTTCTCTCGATGAGATACGTCGGAGAATCAGCGGGGATAAAGCGGAACGATATTAAATGAATTAGAACTAGGGATTAAAGTAGAAATGGAAGAAACGGTCGGACGCATTTCGGATTTAACGCCGCTGGCCTCGAATGTAGTTAGAATAAATTGTTGAGGATTCCCGTTACTTCTGGAATCACGAATTGCGGGATTTTTGTTCTTCTGACGATTTAGTTTTAATTTAGTATAAGAGGGGAAGGACTACTAACCTAGTTTAGCTTAACTAAAGACATCTATTCTATTTAAGTGATCAAAAATAATTAGATGACTCCTAAGTCACGCGACCCTATAAGATTGCTAACTCGGAGTCGTTGTTGCAGAAGACAGGCGGTATTGACAGTATCAGGAGGCGGTTCCCGGCTGACGGCAGGTGGTCCGGCGTCTCCCGAGAAACGACGCTCTTCGAACTCCGTCAACGACCTCCTCGACGACGACGACAAGCTTCTAGATGTCGTGGGACCGGACACGCCCCACCCTGGCCACCATCAACGCGAACGCGAGCACTCTCGGGACAGGGACGACAGGACCAGTGAAAGAGAAGGCAGCGAGTCCTCGGGCTCCGAGAGCGGGGGTGGGCCAGGTCCAACGAGTTCGGAGGGGCCAAGACCCGAGGTGTCGGTGGGCCTGCCGCTTCATCCGCCTCTGCTACCATACCTCTATCCGCCAGTACCCGGTCTGTATCCCGGTCCAGGTCCCCTAATACCCCCCAGTCACCTGGGTATCCACGGCGGAGTGTCGCCAGGCATGTTGTTCAACGCGCAGCTGGCCCTGGCCGCGTCTCAGCACCCGGCATTATTCGCGCACTACCATCACCCACTGGCCAGTCCGTTGCATCAGCTGAAGGGACATCGATACGCGCCGTACACCTTGCCAGCGCCATCTCACGGCTCGGCGTTCGAGACCGTCACCCCTGGCAGCAGGACCCTTAGTCCCAGGTCACCACCGCCCAGGCCCCCAACCGGCTCACCAACGCCAGCGGCGGGCCTGACGTCCAGCAGCAGCTCCGCGGGCGAGCTCAAGTCCATCGAGAACATGGTGAACGGGCTCCAGGAGAAGAGGAGACGCAGTCCCAGTTTGACGCCAGGGCACAGGGGCGACGCGGACGCTGGAGGGGGGAGTCCGTGACAGGAGAACGAGCCCGTGACCAGCACGAACGGCGACCCAGAAGACAAGCAGTTGGCTGAATCCTGTGACCCTGAGGAACTCTACGGCGACGAGAGGGAGCCGGACTCGACCTCCGAGCTGTCGTAGCAGGGAAGAGGGTCGATGGTTCGACCCGGGACCCTCTGTGCCCCATTCTGGGACGCTTCACGGCGCCCTGGGCCCCTCTGCGTCCCTCTGGGGGACAGGCGGCGACCTGGACGAGGGACGCTCGAGACTACGAAGTGCAATTTTACCCCGCGGACTGGGGACGCGTTCTCCATCGGTTTCTGGGACTCGGCGCTGGGCCTGGTTCCCTGTGAGTGTATATAAAATGGCCGGGGGTGGATCGCGCGGGGCCCGGGGTCCACGGACGCTGCATGGATTGCGAGAGTTGGTGGTGTATATTACTCCGGGGCACGGAAGGGCGGGACGAGCGTGGCTGGGGGAAGAGGGGAGTCAGTGGTGGGCAGGAAGTTACCCGTTCGAATCACTTGGGTCACCTAGCGATACAGGATTCGTTAATAATGACGACGATCTCGTGTCATTCGCCTCGAAGACTATCGGATGTCTCGTCTGTCTTGGGAGTCTTGGATGTCTCTTAACATTTCGCTACTTTTTCGGTTCTTTCGTTACGTTCGTCTACGTTCCTGTCGCTTCCTGGCTCCCAATGCCAGAGACTCGTCCAATTCTGTTCGTATAGTTGACCGAGAAATTGTCGGATAACACTCGAAGTGTTTCGAATTTTCAAATTATTGAGGAGCTTGCGAGAGTGGGGGTGAAGTGTCCCACGCTAGTGACAACGGCACGGCTGCGTTCTGCCCGCGTGCGTTTTAGGTGTAAGAGAGGGAGACGTTGCAATACAAGAGCACCTCCTAACTATTTGCAGCCCCTGTACATATGTACCCTAGTGATATTATATTATATTATATTATATATATATATTATATATATATAAATAACTACTCTCTGTATTAATTATTGAATATAATATTATATTAATTATTAGAGAGACGTAAACGACGCATAAACGCACGTTGCCTGATCACGCCACGACGCCCTCGATAAACGAGAATAAGGCGAGGAAACGACAAAAATAACCTCGACAGACGGCAAACTCAGTCCGATTCGGTCCACCGACCCGCCTTTCGGTTTCGAAATCACACCGTCGCGCGTTTTATAGGTTAACAAAGCAGGGAGTTGAGCGTCGTTCTTCGGTCCTGTGCCTGCGCGGATGGCGCCACCGTCACCGACGCCGTTTCTCAGCAGGCTCCCATGGACCAGACATCTCGAACGATCTCTCTCGTGGTGTTCATCGACACCAGAGCTGGATGCAACGACCGTCTCAGCGCCAGAGAAGTTATATAGATAGAGTAGGCAAGCCAGGCGCAAAAGTGTAACCGCGAACCTAGGAGAAGTGTCAGCGTCAGCTGTTAAATGCTCCTTAAGTCCTATGACTCCCCTCGCCAAGCAGTGCTGTCTTAATGTATGGACTCGCTGGTCACTTGCCCCATAAATTAAGGGGCTCCATGCTAATGCGTGCAACGGTGAACACATTTATGGTAGCATTGATCACTGAAATTTATCACTGCCTGTCTTGGCAGCCGTTAGATACTTTTTTTTTTAAATCTACGATATCTGAACGAAATAAATTTAAATAGAACCACAGATACTCTCGCGATTTGTTCTCTTTTTCTTCACGTTTTGCATTTCCACTACAGGAGCTCTGCTCTATCTATATCTCTTTGCTCGGTGCGCAAAAGACGCGCAAACTAGTGGCGCCTCGAGAAGACGCGGTGGCGCCACCGGTCCGGGCGCCAAGATGGCCGCGGCGCTCAGCTCTTGTCTCTCGACGTTGTCGCTTCGGAATATCAACACCGTACATCCCGATCCGGCGCCCCTCGGTACTGTATTTGTATAAAAGTTAGCGATCGATGTAGATAATTGCAGAAAACGCAGATGGAACGACGAATAGTCGACTTTTTCGGAAACGTAGAGGTTAAGTTTTAAGAAATCGGAGATTCGTGACTCCGTCGTTCTTCAAAGTCGAGGGTGCTTGACCCTGCGTCACAGCTGGACCCATCAGTCCCATTTGTCCTCGTGAATAACCCTTCGAACATTGAATACTTTGAACTCTGCTGATAGTTCTGAAAGCCCGAACGGAATTACAGTTATAGAAAAATTCATTTGGTCGATGATAGCCATAAGTGACGCTTGTGAATAAGGGTTGGAGTGCGACTTGCGTTCGTAGAGCTTGTTCTCAGCTGTGCTTGAAATTCTGGCCACGTTCGAAGGCTGTTCTTCGGTTAACTTTTCCCCCCTGCTAATCGATACTGATTTGTTTTAATGAATTTCATTTTTAATATTTTATTTTATCGTCGAATTGTTGCAATGAGACAAATCGTAGAATCCGCTATGCAAGTTTATCGTTTATTGTACAAATTGTAACTACGTCTGTCCAGTTCTGTTGTAGTTATTAGTGTCACTTTCAGCTGTAAACTTTCGTTAACATTGAATTTTTTTTTTTATATTCTCCTTGTGTAAATGTTAGATCACCGTGTTTTGTAATATTTTCTATGCAATGTTGTTCTGATTGTACAAACTACGAAATTGTAATGCCTTGATGGTTCTAATGTGTCAACACGATTATTATTAAACAAATTCCTTTTTTATTCGTGATACCTTCGGTACTGTCATTTTTATTGTATAAAAATGTGAATATACATAACTCTATCTGTTCCTACTATTTTTTTTTTTTTTAAATAATTGATGCTACTCTGCCAGTTGCAAATTGTCATTATAATGATTTTTTAAACTATTTTTTCCTATTTAAAATTTTAAATAAATACGATGTCTGTTAAACATGCCTCGGTATTATTTGTTTTATTTTTCGTTCTCCTCATTCTCTCATCCATTATTCTCTCGGCTCTACGGACTCGAATAGCACTTGAAAAATGATCTAGTTATCAAACGCGAAGTTAAATAAAATCAAAAGTCGAAGGGTCAAAAGCGTTAAAATCGTCAGATTTGAACTGTTGCTTTCTCCTTTCGAGAAAGGGACTCGGTCAATTCGAATCAACTGCTGTAAATGATTGAAATCATGTCGCGATCATGTCACAAAAACTCAAAACGGTTTCTAACTGAGATGGGCAGACATTCGTTAAAATAATAGATCACGAATACAAATTTTATTTGATCAAACATAAAGTATAATTTCATTCCACGAGTCATATATTAATTTTTATGCACCGAGTAACGTGTAAAAGGTTGCTCATAGTTTATTCCTTGTTCGAATTTTGTATCAAGATAAGAACTCTGTCCATCTCGCCCGAAATTAGTGATCGTTCGAGGAAAACCGCGGGGGTTCCCGACGAGACGCATCCACCTCCATCGATTCGAGCGAAAACGACGCCGCGCGGACGATTTTATAAGAGAGAACGTCGCTTCTTTTTGGCTCGAAACTCGAGAAAGGTCCAGACACACAAAATAAGTAGAAACGCCGGGCGATCGTGTAAAATACAACGGCAGAACGTGCGCTACGAGACTCGATAAGCGATACGACTGGGACGCGCAGCTCTCGGCGCGCAGACCCAGCCTCGTGTCGTCGAGTAACAGGGCCCTATTCAAGCGCGGCGAAGAAAACGACACGATTTTTTCTTCCCTACGTACCAAGAATCTTGCTCAATCCTCGAACTTTTCTGTTTTTCTTCGTTCTTCCTCCCCTCAACTCCCTCCAGTCTTCGTTGCGATTAATTTTCGAAGCGCGCTGCGTACGGTCCTGCGCTCGGAGAGGAGAACATGTTGTCGAGAGAAAAGCAATAAAGATTAAAATTAAAAAAAAAAAAAAAAAAAAAAAAATGTAACGCGGCGAAAATCGAAACGTTCGAAACTAACACGAGAATCCGTGATATTCCGTGGCTTGTATTGTATATTGTACACCCACCCAGCCTCCCACTCCTCCGCCCCTACCTCCCATAAACGCCCTCCGAGATCCACGTGACTAAGAATTATATATATATATTAATTTAAAAATATCAAACTGTCTTTTTTCTCTACCAGATCACATCAATCGCCTTTCTCATTCGTGTAAAAAGCTTCCAACAAGCGTACAAGTATTTTAATAAACAGTAGAAGTTCGTAGTTATGGTACGTCATCTAGTAGAGAGTAAAATGGGGCACTTCAGTAGTTCAAGCCAGCCCTGTTGAAAATAGGTTTAAGGAGATCAAGCACACAAGCTCGAGGTAGGCGTTACGAGTGGCCTCGTACCTAGAGGACTCTCGATCGAACAGTGCTATCGATGCGTCTGTTAGTTTCATCGACTTCTCAAGGTAAGTGAGCAACACCTGCTTCTTAGTGAAAAACGAAAAGATAATCGAACTCTTTGTAGACGTAAGATTTAATCCAATTCGAAAACAAAGAATGGTAACACGTCTATACTTTGAGTAAAGGAAACATACGTTACGTACCTAACCTTCAAAGCAACATAATAGTACAGAAAATAAAACGAATAACATAAAATACTTTGTACAGAATTTTCATTCTTTTTAATGAGCGATAAACATTACTTTTTCATTTTATTCGATGCTAAGGAACATGTATAGTTTGATAGCTTGGAAAAATCCTCTGTGGGCGTGGCCATAAAGTAGTGGGGGGTGGGTTGAGTTAATAAGAACTAGAATGAACGTGGAAGATGAAACGTAAAATTATCTACCTGTTCAGTGAACTATTTCATTCGCTGCTGGAGAGCATCTATAGTTTGACAATTAAAAAAAGTCCTCTGTGGGCGTGGCCTGAGACTCAAGGCCAGACAAGGCCCAACTTTCATACCCGAATATCTCTAAAACTACTAGCTTCAGAATAATCATTTCTGGTACTTTTATACACGGAATTCATTACGTTATCAAATAATTCATAATAATCGTAATATAAAATAAGTGACCAAAAGGGTATGTAAAAATTATTTCCCATTGCACTCATCGCTGGAAGATCGAATAGAGGAACCTGCGCCACCTGGTGTCGATCCTAGTAATCACGTGGTTAACCACGGGATCGATTCTCGAAATAATTACCGTAATAATCGTTGTGGCGCCGTGGACAGGGCCATTTGGGCCCGACGCGTTCGTTAAATAAACAAAATCCGTCAGGGCCTTCTCAAGGCGAGTCTCTCAATTTTTCCGGTCGCGTCCGCCATAAAGGCTAACGACTTAATCGCACGTGAACGTACAAATTGCATGATTGTATAATTAAAATCGGTCGGGCGTCGTGTATGCCCCACGCTTTTAGTCTTTTTTATCGGAAACGAGACGTTCTGCGGTTCCTTTTTCCCTCCTCGCCGCGAAATATATCGCGACGCTGCAAACAAGCGGCATAACGTGAGCATAAATAATTCATGCGCGCGCGACGAGACTCGTTAGCGCGCTTGGTTTTGAGGGTAGTTCGGCGGGAGTTATTAATTTCGAGGTTAGGCTTGCAAGATAGCCCTTTACGCATTTGTATATTTCATGTTTGTTTGTTTAATGTATTTATTATGCAGTTTGCAGTAGGGATAACGTTGAGAAAATATCATTTGAGAATTAATCAAGTTAAAATTTACATAGAGGATCACTTAGAATACTTGCCCTCCTTTCCAAAGGAGGGAGGAAAAAAGTCTGTCACGCGCGAGGAGCAATTATGAGCCTTTTCTGCGGCAACACGATGTATCTGTTAAGCGTAATCGCGAAATCTGCAAGCCGTTCACTCGTTCACCTGGGTGTTCCCCATTATGTTCGTAATTTTGGCGGAACAGCCTCCACCGGTAATCGATGTTGAAATTTTTAATGGTTTCCTCTCTTTCTCCCTGGCCATCGACGCAGGCTTCGGATAAAACACCAAAATGTACAAGAAAAATAAAATTTTAAATGTTAATAAGCAACGAGAAGAAGCTACAACTACAGGATACAAAACTTAACCTCAATCATATGATATAAAATTAGAGGAACGAGACAAACATGACACTCAAGATTCAAGTTACCCCCAATCGAGTAAAAATTTCAATTAGAAACTAAACGAGAGTGTTTACGGGTACATATATTTTCCGCTTTAGCAGCGCAAGTAACGCATCAACCAGGCACCATCGGGAAAAATATGGCGACGCGTTCGCGGATAGAAACGAGCGGCAGTCACGGCAATGCCTAATCTGGAAAATCTACGAGCCGTGACATTCCATTTTCATGGTCAATTAATGCAACGCAATCGATCCAACGTCGCTGACACCGTTCCGATCCTTTCACTCGCGTCTCGTGGCGATTTTGTATCGCCGCTGGACGATAATTGCTCGCCCGCGTCGTTGGCGCGCGTTTCCAACTAAATGGAATTAATTAATCGATGACTAAGCGAATGAGGGAATCGTGGATTAAGTAATTTCGTATTCCTTAGGCGGCACGCTGAGAGTTAGATCTAGGTTATGTTTGAAATGGGACTTGGTTAGATTCAAGAGATACATGATATTAGGACTGGGTTAGGTTAGGATACCTCTGCTGTAAGTAAGAATTATTTATAGCCTATAATATAAGTTATGAAAACATGAATACTGTCTGGACATGTTTATTTTATCTTCAGTAGAATAGGATTGGTAGAAAGACGAGAAATAAATGGGAACAAGTGAAAAATGAATGATAAATTTCACTTTTTCTACATCTACTCGAACAAATGGACAGATGAAGTAGATTCGACTATAACAAACGCAACCAATCGCCTAACCTTACATATCGGCATCGTTATTTACCTTTCTCCTGGTTCCACATTGTACGTCCCTACTTTTTACTTTGCAAGCCGCATACTGCGACCGAAACCATATTTATAGTCCGCAATAAATAGTCGGCACTATTCTTTCGCGAAGATATAAATCACTACCATAGAAGAATCAGGATCGAGGCAGCCTCGAGCAAATTGACGGACTTCGAGAATAGATACGTATCGGTCGACTTTTATGCCGCTCGTTTTTTCGATTTTATTCCGCGAGCAAGCAGCCGGTCTCGCGGTAATCGATTCGATCACGAAAGCTGCTCGTCTTTTCGTTGTCTTTAAACGCGATAGAGCCACGGCTCAGCCGATATTAGCATACCCCCTTGAGAGTGGATTAGTGCCTCCTTAAAAAGTCATTCGCGGAACGAACGAATCCCAGGGCGCTCGACGTTCTTTCCGTATCAAAACCTGCGTGGAAATTGTTAAATAGAAAATTCTTTATGCAAGAAGTTACCGCACAGATACATAAATATATAAAAGAATATGTTGGAAGGGGGGCACATGATTCAGCAATAACGTTGCCATCAATCTAACCTCAATTCTGAATCGTCATCTGCTATTTCTCGGGAATCAAATATAATTTGGAATAGACTCAGTTTCACCTTTGTTCACTTTCTATAATGATAAGAATATAAATTAAACATATAAGAAGTGAAAAATAATAGTGTTACAGTGAACGAAAGATGCGAGGTGGTGTACTTTTATAATTTAACCTCAAATGTTGAAGTAATTGGAATGAAAATCCTTTGGAAATGTGGCAGCCGTATTAATTTTCGCATTTCTGCGGTCTGGCAGGATTGGATAGACGTTTGGGTGGAAAAAGGAACCGCGTTCGAAGGGAATCGAAGGAAACACGCGGGTCGCCCCGAGGTCCTCGCCGAACCAATTTGTATGCTGATGGCTATCTCCGCGGAATAATTTATAAACGATATTAAACCGTGCTCTTTGGCCGGGGCACGCTACACGCTTGGTACCGGGCAGCCCGCCCCTTTAGAAGAGGGTGGAAGGGTGGACGTGAATTTATAGTCGGGAATGCAATCTGTCATCGCGTATCGGCGACGAGGATACGACTTCTGCGACTATTAAACGTGAAACCGTCTCGATCGATCGATCGCCGACGGAAAACGGTGCCCGAACTGACAGAAAAATAAACCTAACCGATGGAATTCAAACTCTATGAAACGAAGAAGCTCTTCTTATAGTGAAAAATTAAAAGACGAACATAAAGATAGCTTTTTCGAAAATTGTCAGTTTAAAAATGCCATGAGAATAAATTAAATAACCTATAGAGATCTAATAAATGATAGAATCGAGCATGGCTGAGCTAATGCGTTTCTGGTACACCGAAAATTTCCACCACAGGTTTCGTGAATATCAACGTCGGCGACTCCGGTGACTGGTCGCGAACGCCTCGAGCTAAAAGGATCAATTAAAAACCGTCGAACGAGCCCGAGAGGCTTCGCGGACGATCGGCTGGAACGAAGATTAGGAAGCGATCGGAATGCCCGGTGGCCTTTGATCGGCGTCGAAACGTGTCCGTGGGATCCGCCAGAGGGTTCGGAAGGGGCGGGAGGGGGCATCCGAGAGCCGAGGAGGACCCGGGCGGGGGCCACTCGACAGGCCGATAGCGACGAGGATTTAATTGAC